TAGCAGCGGCAAGGGCGCGATGTTATTCGGTTACGAAGGCCAGTGCAGGCTCGTGCCATTCGGCAGCGAGTTCATGAAGGGGGGTGCAAAGATTTACATTTTCCACGTGTTATGCTCCCTGCGCGACCCGGCAGGCGGCATTGCTGAGTGGGGGGGCAACATCCGATCGACATTCGATTGCCTGGGCGCTTTGGGCGGCAAGAGAATGTTCGGCGCTTTGGCGGATAACGATACGTGCAGAGGTTCATGGTGCTTCCGCGCCAACGCCGAAGGGGCGCGCTCGGCAGCGTCCATGACGAAGTTCCTCGCGCCATCGAGCTGCGCAGTCGTCGAGTTTTCCAAATGGTTTCCAGACTCGAATGCTTATCTCGTGCGTTGGTCTAATCATTTCGGGTGCTCCAAGGTATCTGACCTCGCGAAGAAGTTGAAATGCAAAGGCCCGCTTCATTTGCCTTCGATGTACGCGTGCCTGTACGCCGATTCCTCGTTTCTGCGCCGCGATGCGAAGGAGTACAGAAAGAAGGGAGTTTTGAAGACTATTAACAAGCGCCGGAAGCTGAACAAAAATTGGAAGGGGCACGAGAGCCACCCGGCCGCCGTGTGCGAGGACGCCTTCGAGGTGATCGATGGCTGAGCTGCGGGATGCGTAGAAACCTGCGGAGTGCCCCAAAGAGGGCGGCGGGGAGGCGGGGAACGGAGCGGAGACGGAGGAGGAGGAGGAGTAGCATTCTGCATAGGAATCCGGGTCCGATTTCAGGATGAATTCGGTGCAGAATTTTGGCCAGAATTCGGGGCTGGATTATGTGCGGGATTCTGAATATGATCCTGAGCAGAATTCATCAAATAATTCAATATAACCAACAGCGCCACGGCGGAACCGGGTCGAAGCATAGAACATCCATAAAAAATCATCTTGATCCCGTATCTACACAGATTTGGCGCTTAAGTGTGCTATCTTGCAACTTCGCGACACGCGCATGTTCTGACGATGGCAGAAGCCTATTACAGTGCTACTGAACCAACGACGCCACGGCGGAACGAGGCCGGAGCGCAGAATATCCATAACAATTTCGCCTTGATCCCGTACCGCGCCGATGTGGCGCTATAGTGTACTATCGTGAAGCCGCGACACGCGCGTGCTGTGACCGTGGCGGAAGCCTACTACCGCAAGCGACGACGCCACGCCGAAACGAGGCCGAAGCGCAGAACATTGATAAAACATTCGTCTTGATCCCGTATCACACCGATGTGGCGCTATAGTGTATTATCGTGAAACCGCGACACGCGCGTGCTCTGACCGCGGCAGAAGCCCATTACCGTGCTACCGCAATCAACGACGCCACGCCGACACGAGGCCGAAACGCAGAACATGCATTAATAATTAATCCTGATTCAGAATTCTGGCCAGAATTCGGGGCTGGATTATGTGCGGGATTCTGAATAGGATCCTGAATAGAACTCATACTATAATTCAATATATTTTTCTGGATCTGATTCTATGTAGCGACCCAGATAGGATAGCAGCATGAAATCAAGCAAACAAGCCCACTACACCTATCAAACTCCTGCTCTGGAGTAGGTTTCTGGGTACTCAGAGTAGGATCCTGGGCCAGATTCCAGGTAGGATTCCGGTAGAAATCTGATCAGGATTCAAAGTCGAATTCGGAACTGTATTCTGGATAAGATTCTAGACCGGATGCTGGATCACATTCCGCGTGCGATTCCAGGTAGGATTCTGCGTCGGATTCTGTGTTGGATTTCGCGGAGAATTCCGAGATGATTCTGAGTGGGATTATGATTCTTTTGGGTAGGATTTTGGGTAGAATTCCAACACCCTCTGGGTAGGATGAGGAAGAGGGGGAGGGCTGAGATAAAAGTTCAGATCGCGCGGACTCGTCCGCCTGCGAGTTCCCGACGCGCTCGAGCGTCATGTTATCCTTGGCAAATCATCGGATGTGCTATTCAGCGTTTATGATTCTCTCTAGGCACCCTTGCGATGCAAAGAGGGGACCAGAGGGGGGAGGAGGAGGAGGAGGAGGAGGAGGAGGAGGAAGAAAAGGGAGGAGGAGGGAAACGAAAAGGAGGAGGAGGAGGAGGAGGAGGAGGAGGAGGAGGAGGAGGAGGAGGAGGAGGAAAAGAAGGCGGAGGAGAGGAGGAAAGGGCAAAGGAGAGGGATTATGTGGAGGAGAAGGAAAGGGAGGGGGACGGGAAGGAGGAGGAGGAAAAAGAAGAAACTGGACGGTGGAAGCCGCACTGCTCAATCGAATGGCCTTCGGTCCAATTCCGCCGCCTTGCCTGCCCGCTCGGGTTATCATGGGGCCTTTTTTGGACTCGAAGAAGTCACGCGCCACCACACGCCAAGCCCCAGGAGGCACGCGACACGCCCCGACGGGTTTGAGAATTTGGAACCTGGGCATAGGTCCTTTTAAAAAAGATTTCGGTATTGAGGACTGAAGCTCGAAGGAACCTGAAGACGCGCCCGCTCGTGCAGGCACAGTGGCGGACTCAAAAGTAACAGTAGTAGTAGTAGTAGCAGTAGTAGTAGTAGTAGTAGTAGTAGTAGTAGTAGTAGTAGTAGTAGTAATAGTAGTAGTAGTAGTAGTAGTAGTAGTAGTAGTAGTAGTAGTAGTAGTAGTCGTAGTCGTAGTCGTAGTCGTAGTCGTAGTAGTAGTAGTAGTAGTAGTAGTAGTAGTAGTAGTAGTAGTAGTAGTAGTAGTAGTAGTAGTAGTAGTAGTAGTAGTAGTAGTAGTAGTAGTAGTAGTAGTAGTAGTAGTAGTAGTAGTAGTAGTAGTGGTGGTAGTAGTAGTAGTAGTAGTAGTAGTAGTAGTAGTCGTCGTAGTAGTAGTAGTAGTAGTAGTAGTAGTAGTAGTAGTATCCATTCCCTCCCAGGATGCGGATGAAGGTTGTGAAACAAACAACAATCGTTTAATATGCTTTGTAAGACACGCCTGGACGTCATCGTCCGCAAAACGAATCGCGGATAGTAGTTCTGCGCTTCGTGCCAGGCATTTTTGCCCCGAGATGCGCTCGCGCCGCCCCGGGGGAAAAAAGCAGAGCACCAGCCCGAGAGGGATGGTGGTGATATTACTACGGTTGTCGCATGCTTCATCGGCTCAGAACTTTAGCGAACGTGGCTTTGCAGTGCCGGCCTCTTTTGACTTCCCCGCTCTTTCCCTGATTGTGGATCAGCATGACTGTCCTGTGATCTCTCTGTGTCTTTTCGGTGTCATGGCCGCCAACGACCAGCGCGCTGCTGCCGCTCAGCCTATGAGCCAATTCTCGGCTGATCTGGGTGATTCTATACTGCGGGCGAGTGTGCCGCCTTCTCCAATCCAGCGCGGCGAGCCGCCTGGCGGGCCTGGCGAAGACACGTGCACGCACGTGGTCACCATTCCAACGAACGCGCCCGCTGGCCCGCCGCATGTTCCAGTCGATACCGTCGGGGTGGTACCTGCCGACGAGCTGTGTCTGTATCACTGTTGTAATACTGCCGTGGATATGTATTCGTGGTTGCGCGGCAGACATGCGTCTGGTTACGCGGAAGATAGGCGCAGAGTGTGCGCAGACGAAGCGCGCGCCAAGCAATTCCGGGATCGCGTCGCGCAGATGGCGCGGGACGCAGGAGACGAAACCTTTGCTGCCAGATTGCTGAAGATCGGGCGAGAAGCTTACCCGGGCTTTGACGACATGCAATATTTCTGCGAGGTCCCGGGCGGCCAGATCGTCGTCGAGCACTACGAGGACACGGAGCGCTCTGTTCAGAGCGTTTATGGTAACGGCCCTTTGGGAGCGTTCTTTCGGCTTCGCAAGCAGTCCTCTGGGGATGGGCACCAGGTCGATCATTGCTCATGCCTGCAGAGTTGGATTTCGCGGGTTCCAGGGGCCGCCGCGCGCGCGAGCGAGCCCGAGGAAGCGCCCGCCGATCCCGTCGGCGACAACAGCTCCCTACAGCGACGGTTGAATTTCCAGGCGCAGCTACGTGCAGTGCGGAATTCGACGAGTTCATGATGGAGGAAGACAGCGAGCGGAGCTGGCTGGAGAGTTGGACGGCAGACCCTGAGCCGCCTGCCGAGAGCATACTCGTGCAGACTGAGGCGGTGAAAGCATTCATAGAGAAGCAACACGCCTCATGGGATCCATAGCTGAAGCGGATTGCCCTTGGTGCGCTAGCCATGTATCGATGTCGGCTATCCGATGTCTACGTTCGAGAGTACGTCATAATGATGCACATCATACTTGGCGGTGATTACCTCGTCGCTCACGATGGGGTCATGTATTTCTGGAGCGGGAATATAAGGTTCTTCGAGAAATACGAGGGCCTCATGCCAGAGATTGTGTATGCTGCTCTGAAGGAGTACCTCTTGGCTTTAGATTGGCTTTTCCGGTCCTTCGCTGGCTAGGTTCGGCGGGATGACGAGGCCGCGATGTCCGCAATCGAGGGGTCGTTGGAGAAGAACGGGTCGGAGGCTCGGAAGGCATTCGCCGCGTGGCGCGACAGCGCCATCTTCGACAAAGGAGGCGAGGGCGGCGGCAAGGGCGGCGGCGTGGGGGGCGCGGGGGAACCTGCCCCTGAATTCGATGCTCTCTCGCAGATAGAGGCGCAAGGGCTGGGGGGCGATGCGCCCGCGCCAGCGGGCGACAGCGCCGCGCGCAGTGCGCCTTGGTATATCGCGATCGCAGTGAGCGTTGCTCGAGTCGGGCGAAGCTTGCAGATCCAGATGATTCAGAACAAGTTGCCGTCGTTTTACTGCGAGTGGTGCGATGCTCCGCGCCCCTCGCACAGGGGCGTCGCCCGCCCCGACGTCGCGTTCGTCTACGACCTGGGCGGAACCCTGGTGAAGCAGATCGCGAGGGGGAGTGAACGCAAGAGCATGTACATCGGCATGCCGCACAACATCAAGGCTTGATTGGGCGACCCGGCCTCGAGGGCGGCCGCGACGAGAGCGGGCCAGTTCTACAGGCAGACATACCGGGCAAACGCCGCCGCGCACAAAGTGTGCATGGCCGCTCTCGCTCTGGCGAAGAGAGGGTCGAACTTCGACCAGCTGATCTTCTTCTGGGGTGCCGGCGGCGTCGGGCTTTCGCTGGCGACGGCCCGTCTCGACGCCGTGCTCGGCCGCTCCAACCAAAAGTATCTCGACCCGCAGGTGTTCTATCTTGACGAGGAGATGCGGAAGACGGTGGAGTCGCTCAGAGGCACGATCGTTCTCACGGCGCAGGAGATGCCAGAAGGCTTGCGGAAGAGCTTCCGGGAGGAATTGTTCAAGAAGCTGGCGTCTGCCGACGGCATCTTTGGTGGGCTCCCGTATCAGATTTCGACACAGATTATATACCTGGTCGGATGGAGATGCATGGAGCTCAACGAGCTCATCACTTTCGACGCAGTCACTGAGGGTGCATTCCACGCCATTTACCGGAGGTCTCTTCTGATCAAGATTTATGCTAGGTTTGTTGATGCGGAGTTCATCGGGCGCGCCCTGCCGGACGCAGAGAAGTACGGCACCTTCCCGCGGGCGCTGGGGCTGAAGCCGTTCATGCAGTCGGGGCCCGCCATCGCCGCTGGTCTGCAACGACAGCAGGGCTTCGAACGGAAATATGGCGAAGCGGCGTCGAGGTCGGTGATAGATGACTATTGCCAGCGCGGAGGAGATAACGGGATCATGGAGAAACACATGCGACAGGCGCGTCTTCTCCCGGGGCCGAGCAGGCCGAAGCCTGGCGGCCAGAGCAGCGCGGCTGCCCCGCCGCCCGGCGTCGACTTCGAGGTCGGAGCGGGCGCGTCGCAAGATGCGGTGGCGCTGATGCAATCCTTGCGCCGCCACCCTCCAGCAGATGCCCGAGCGGAAGTTCGACGCCCTGACGTTCTCTTATTTCAAGCATCTTCATACGGTGCAGATCCAAGGTTTGCCTGAGAGGAAAACCACAGTGTGGCAGGCGATGGGCTCCGCCGGACGGGTGAAAGCCGGGGCGCAAGGCAAGGCGAAGGACAGACTTTTGCCGAAATTATCCTTCGCCCGCAAGTTCATCGATGTCGCGCCGACGCCGAGTTTGGAGGGGCCGACCGCCCTCCCAGAACAGTGGGGCCGCGCGGCGCTGCAGCGCTACGCGAGCGGCAACGCCTGCCGCAAGCGCAACGTCGAAATCATGGTGGCGGTCCTAGGGTCCGTTTCGAAGCAGCGCGGGCGGAGAAGCCGCGCGAACACCGCTGAGGCGGGCAGCGACGCTCATCTGCGCGAGATCGGCGTGCCTATCCAGGCTGCGGAGGCGACTCTGGGCGCGATGCTGGGGGGCGCGCGCGAGAGGCCGACGGTGGCCGCCGCCGAGCAACCAGATGCGAAGAGGAGGAAAATCGCTGTGAAGAAGAGCTTTAGCGCTGGCAGCGACTTGGCAGAGCGTGCCGCCCCTTGCGTTTACAAGCGCACTGCGGCCCGTCGCTTCGCGGACGTCCCGGCAGCGCAGGGCTGCCCGACGCGCGTGCTGCATCCGATGCTGCAGGGCACTGTAAATCTCGACGTTCACTGCGCGGTTCTGCCAATCGCCTGGCAACTCGTGGAGAAGATGGACCTGGCGGAGAAGAATATGTTCGAAGAGGAGTTGACATTGTTGAAGCAGCTGGCCGAGGACAGAGACGAGATATTGCAGAAGGAGTTGAAGAGCATGGGGCGCCAGGTGGCCAAGCGCTTCGTGCTTGAGACCATCGGCTGGTCCGGAACTTTCGACGTCGACGCCGAGCCCTTCGCCAAAAAGCTGCAGCGCGTCAGCCGCGTGCTGCGCTGGGTGGCGTGCTCTGCGTTGCCCGATGCATGCGAAAGCTTTTGCAGCGACGCCGAGCAGCGCGACGACAGGGAGAAAGAGAAATGGCCGGAGGGGCAGACATTCTCCACTTTCTACCAGCGCGCAGAGGACTACATCCTCCGCCAGTGGCAGACGTGGGTGCCCATGCAGCCGGTGGCGCATTTGTCCTTGCATTTCGACGGCGTGAGGGTCAGCAGGGGCGCGGTGTTTGCCAAGCATGCCACGGCGGCAGACTACGCAGCTGACGCGAGTGCCTACATCGCGCAGGAAACAGACTTCGTAGTGAAGATTAAAGAGCAGACCCACCCGACGATCGCACAGGCGCTGATGAGCTGTGGGGCGTGGCGGCCTCTGGAAGCGGCAGCGGCGCCTGGCGACCTGCTGAGGCCCGGCAGTGGCATTCTATTAGCGCTGTGGCGATGCGGCGACGACAGGGCGCCCGCGTCCGTCCTCTCCCTGGCAGGCGCCACCTCAGTTGAGAGCAATGCCGCCGGCGTCGAGAAAGGGAGAACCTACGCGGAGTGTTGCCTGGGCCACAAGTTTTCCATGAAGCCCCATTTAGGTTTCAATGCGAAAGAGGATGGGGTTTATCTGTTCCACCTGGATGGGGGCGGATCGCCGTCTTGCGCACTCGTCCACGTTGAGAGGGCTCTCGACAAGGCGTCGTTTTTTCAAGGACAATGCTGGAGAGGTGGGTCTGTCAGATGTTCTCGCGGGGTGAGACTCGAGGCTAGCAGTTACGTTTCACGTTGATCTGTACCCGGCGGCGCAGGCGCAGGCGCCCGACGAAGGCGACGGCGACGCCGGGCCCTTGGCGGGGCTCTCGGGCATGATGGCGTGAGGCGCAGCCGTTCGGGCTGAGTGGATCGTTAGTGGCAGCGGCTGCAAGAAACAGAAAAATAGTTGGGTTCAATGTAGTTCGGTTGCTCGTCCGGCCAGGCCCCAGCGGAGTTTTGTATTTTATTTGCCTGGGAATGCCAAGATACCCTTTCCAATGCAAGCTGAGGTCTCAGGTTGAGCATGGCACAAAGCAGAATGTGTATCTTCGCAAAATAAACAGGGCCCTCGTCTAGCCTGCAGGACAAGTCGTATCGATGAGCATTCGCTGGTCGCAGAAACACCCAGAACGCATATCCACTTTGGAAGCGGATACCGATCTGCACGTTCAGTTTCACAGCACCAGCAATTCAGAGACAGTTCGGTCGCGTACCCCTGCATTCGCAGCCCGATCATAGCAGGGGTATCTGCGGGTCTTCTGGGGGCCCGCTCGCCGCGTCGGCTCAAGTCATGCGTTGTACGTGGGTCGGCTTTGCCGCCCTGTGCTTTCTTCGCTTCATATTTGCCCGTATCCCCCTGTGGGTCGGCTTTGCCGCCCTGACACCTCATCGCATCTCCGCGCGCTACCTGGCATGTGCGAAGCGCTCGCGGTTGTCAAAGACGCCGACCCGCGCGGAAGGCGCATGCAATGTGTTTCTGGGGTCAGACGCTCTATCGAGCATGTATCCATCCAGCTTCTGAGCAGCGCTGGCGAGCTGGAAGATGACGAGAGGCCCGCGACCCCAGACCCCTACCTGCCTGGCGTCAGCAAGCGGCAGTGGGAGGCCAAGGTTTCTGCTTGGCGCAGGGAAATGTCGCGACTTCTTGACGAGGTGCCGGCTGGTGCGACGGAATTGGCGGCGGCCGAAGAGTTCGGCGTCTGGGTAGAGCCTTCACCGCCAGCCGTTCGCGGCTGTCGATCTCTCCTGCAAGATGGAAACTGCATCCCGCTCGCTTACAGCATCCTGACGCGGGACTTCTGCGGCGGCATCGACTACTGCGCGCGACTTCCCACTCGTTGCGCCGACGTCGCCAACCACTTCGGCTGCTCTCTGACCGTCGTGCGCCTGCAGGCTTCGCAGCAGGGTGCGTGCTTACTCTTGCCCGGGAAGTATTTCTGCCATATGCGGTGCCATTGCTGCGCTGCGGCTGTTTTCCCAGGATCATCTTCGGCGATCGTGTGGAGAGGTTTCAGCCGCCACGTTCTGTCGATGGCGCAGTGGGTCCGCCGCGTCGAAGAAGTCGAGGGCGCGCTGTTGCATATCACTTGCAGCAGTGAAGCGGGCCTCGACGTCGATTTGACAACTGGGCGGGGATCGCGGGGGACCGCGGCCGAAAGGGGCTTCATGGGCGCCGACGATGATCTGCTGGGAGGCATGGCGCATGGGGAAGATGTATCCAATGCGTGTCTCAGCGTGGTTCTGAATACGCTGGGGGCGCACGTGCCGACCAGCGTGCAAGGCCCATTCCGTGCGCTCGAGCACGGGGACCAATTGCTGTCATATCTCGGCCTCGTCTTGGTCCGGCAGCCGCGGGGGCCGACCGGCCGGGGGCGTTATGTCAAGTGGGGGCCGCCGCGGCGCGAAGCTGGACTGGCCGCGAGCGTCGGCCACTTCGCAGCCGTTATCCTGCAGCCAGGCAATGCCGCTGTGATAGACCGCCGAGCAGGCCTGCCAGCTGTTCGCGAGTGGCGAGCGTGCAGCGACATTCCGGACGTTGTGGAGCACAAGTGGCTCTTGTTGTTGGAGCTCGGCGCGCAGAGGCCAGGGCCTGAGAGCGGCCGCCCTCCGCCGCGGGGCACGACTTCTGGGATCGTCGAAGCTCATGGGCTGGATGCGCTCATCCGTCGGCGCGCGGCTCGCGAACGAGCGGGGCCCTATGGGCCGGCGTCGTTAGGTTCGATGGCGCCGCAGGAGGCGGCCCGGGTATCAGCGAACCGAGAGGAGGCAATGCGGCGCAGATCTTTGCGTTTGTTCTGCCCGTTGCCGCCGGTGGGGTGGCCCGGCCTGTCAGGTGCCCCACGTCCCGTGCGATTTCTCCTTCGAGCTGCCGCGTCTTCCGAAGATTCGCCTACTCGAGCGACTCAACGCTCGCCCGCGGGGCACTCAGTTGCACTTCGTCGAAGAGTCGCATTCCTACTACATTCTAGTGGTTTCGACGCTCGCGCAGTGATAGAGAAGATGCGGAACGGGCGAAACTGGCCGCGACCTGATTATTTGCGCCACCCTCGCCCGGAAGACGCAGTCGCGGCGCTGCGGGCCGCGCCGGAGGCTGCTCGTCTGCGCGAGTTACTTGTTTCGCACGCGGCCTGCGACGCCGAGATCTGCGCCGAGGTGAAGGCAACTGCGAGAGCGGCCCCCCGCCTGGCATGCCTGATGGAGAGTTTATCTCTCTCTCGGATCAGGAGATCGTGGAGAAATGGCGCCTGGGCAAGGAAGGGGCTGCGAGGCGGGGCACCTGGATGCTCTGGACGTTCGAGGCCCGCCTCAATCGCGTTACGGTGCCGCGCGACGCCGTGGAGTTTCAGTTATTCCTGAAATTTCTGGGCGCGCTGAGAGGTCTGGCGGCTTTCCGCGCCGAGTGGGCCATCTTCGCCGAGCGCGAGGGGCTTGCTGGGTCAATCGATTTCGCGGCCCGAGACTCTGCGGGCAGCTTGTGCATATGCGATTGGAAGCGGGCGAAGAATTTTCGTTCGAAGTTCACGAATCCATGGGATATTATGAAGTTTCCATTGGGCCTGTTGCCAGACTGCCAGGGAAATCATTACCAGGTGCAGCTTAATATTTACAGGTGGATGTTGGAACGGTACTACGGCGCCCGCGTGGCTGCGATGTATGTAGTCTGCCTGCATCCGGACAACTGTGACCAGCCCTTCGTGGACGACGTGCCGGTGATCCGGACATAGAGGAGCTCATGGTCACTCAGCGCACGAAGTCCCGGGAGTTGCGGGCAATGGCTTCGGGAGACGCCAGAGAGATAGACCCTCTGGGCGGCTGGCCGCGGCCAGTCGTGGAAGCGCGCTTGCCGTGTCGCCTGAGCACCGCGGCCAATTTCGGTCGTGTTTTTTTCGCCGGAGCTCAACGGAGGTCACGCGCTGGCACTGCCGTCGCGATTGCGCGCCGCCCTTCTGAGATGCCGTTGCATTTGCCGGATGCCGACTTGCAGCGGGCGAGAATTGCGCGCGTGGGCTTGGTGGGGGCAACATTGACAGCCATATGCTCCCAAGCTCCGCGGACGCAGTGGCGCTCGCGCGTGAAAAAAACGCATGGATGCGACGGTTGCGTTGCTGAAGAATTATGCTAGCGGAGTTCCCCACATAATGATGTTATTGGGATAGCGGGATCAAGGATCATTTTGTCATCAAATTGCCGACCTGCCCTCGCCCTCTCCATCCTTATCTATCACATGGTTTGCGAAGGTTTGCGAATGCCCTCCTCGCTCAGGCGGGGCCTCCCTGGAGGGGTGGTAGGGGCACGAAACCTGATGAATAACATTGTTTTCGAATGGCGTCCTCGCTCAGGCGGGGCCCCCCTGGGGGGTGGGAGGGGCACGAAACCTGATACATAACATTGTTTTCGAATGGCGTCCTCGCTCAGGCGGGGCCTCCCTGGAGGGGTGGGAGGGGCGCGAAACCTGATAAGTGACGCTGTTTTCGAATGGCGTCCTTGCTCAGGCGGGGCCTCCCTCGAGGGGTCGGGGTGGCGCGAAACTTGATAAATAACACTGTTTTCGAATAGCGTCCTCGCTCAGGCGGGGCCTCCCTGGAGGGGTTGGAAGGGCGCGGGACTTGATGCGTAGCATTGCTTTCGAAAAGCGTCTTCGCTCAGGCGGGGTCTCCCTGGAGGGGTGGGTGGGTGGTGGGGGGGGGGGGCGCGAAACCTGATGCATAACATTGTTTTCGAATGGCGTCTTCGCTCAGGCGGGGCCTCCCTGGAGGGGTGGGAGTGACGCGAAACCTGATAAATAACATCGTTTTCGAATAGCGTCCTCGCTCAGGCGGGGCCTCCCTGGAGGGGTGGGAGGGGCGCGAAACCTGATAGATAACGCTGTGTTCGAATAGCGTCCTCGCTCAGGCGGGGCCTCCCTGGGGGGGTGGGAGGGGCGCATGGTATTGGTATGGTGTTGGTATGGTATTGGTATGGTGGGAGGGGCTCAGACGAAACCTGATAAATAACATGTCCTGCATGGTATTGGTATGGTATGGGTATGGTATGGTATGTTTTGGTATGGTATTGGTATGGTATTGTATCGGTATGGTATGGCTTGGTATGGTTTGGTATGGTATTGGTATGGTATGGTATTGGTATGGTAGGGTTTGGTATGGTATGGTATTGGTATGGCATGGTATCGGTATGGTATGGCTTGGTATGGCTTGGTATGGTATTGGTATGGTATGGTATTGGTATGGGATGGCTTGGTATGGTATGGTGATGTGCGGAATGGTATCGTATGGTATACGAGAAGGACGCGGGAGGAGAAGGAGGAGGAGAAGGAGAGGGTGTTCTGGGAAAACAAGATCCCCACTCAGGATGTGGGGGATAATTTCATGTTCGTATTTGCAACCGCCAAAACAGGGGGGGGGCTACAAAGAGACAGCGAGCGTGTCGCGGCCCCGTTGCACAGGCCAAATGCGGGCGCAAGTCGCGCTGCCCCGCGGGCGACGCGCGCAGAGTTCGCTCGGCAGTGATATTGAATCCGATTTTTCCCCAGCGCGCTTTTCGGCGAGATGCGGGGGGCGCATCAGCACGGCATTTTCGCACTGGCGCCGAGCGCGCTCCCAGTGGAGCTCGGCGCTCTCGCCTCGGCGCAGGCTTCGCGCGCGGAGAGCCCCGGGGCCTCCGAGGACAACCAAAAGGTTAGCGGTGCGAAACACTGCGTGGAAGTTGCATGTAATCTGATTTTTCTCCCGCTTGCGTCTCATCGAGGCGCGGGGGAAAATCCAACAGCATTGGTTTCGACAGGGCGCGAGTCGCGCTGCTCGAGGAGCGACGCGCGCAGAGCTCGCTCAGCAATAATATAGAATCTGATTTTTCCCCGGCGCGCGTTTCGCCGAGGCGCGGGGGCAAAATCAGCGCGGAATTTTCGCGTGAGCCCCGACCGCGCTCTCGGTCGGGCTTGGCGCTCTCGCTTCAGCGCAGGCCACGCGCGCGGAGGGATCCGCGGCCTTCGAGGACAATCGAGAGGTTAGCAGTGTGAGACCTTGTTTGGAAGTGGCATGTAATTTGATTTTTCTCCCGCTTGTGTTTCATCGAGGCGCGGGGGAAATCCAAATGCTTTTTGTGTGAAGTGAGCGCAGTGCGTACCTCTCGTGTGTCAGTAACACCTGTGGGCACGAGTCACTGACTGCGCAGTATAATGCGTCTCGGATAGTGCGTTTGCAGATCATTTAGCCGGACAGCAGGTTTGCCAGAGAACGCAAATCCAAGCTGTGGAGGTTGCCAAAAGTAACGCTAGCATCAGGGTCTGCAGCAGTACCAGAAGTAGTAGTTCTCGTCGCAGCAGTACTCAGCGCAGAGCGAACCATAGCTGTTTTTCTTTCAATTCTCCCTTTGGTGTGGCTCGGCATTGCCGGCCTGTCAATCAACCTATTGCGTCGCTCGCCCTTGCCGGCCTGCGGCGCTGCCTCGTAGAAGATCGGCATTGCCGTCATGTGAGGTGTACTGCGCCTTGGCGCCATGGCCGCCGACGACCAGTGCGCTGCCGGTTCCCCGTGCCTGAGCCCGCGCCACCCTGAGTTCGACGACCCGGCGCCGCGCGGGTGGGCTCGCCAGCGGCGAGCTTCGTCTGGTGCCCGCTCGCTGACGCCGGCGCGCAGGAAGCGTCGACTGTCTTCGCGGGCTGCGCGCGCGGCTGCTGCACGAACCCCCCCGTCGTCTTCGGAGGGAGACGACGCCGCTGACATCGATGCTTTCGCGCAGGTGGCGTCGCTGATCTGAGACGAAGAAATCGACAGCATTCTGTCATGCTTCCCTGCCGCGTTGAGACGGGCGCTAGCGCGTCTCTTCGCGCGGGATCAACGTATTCACCTTGACAGAACGTTTATACTCGTGAAGCCTCTCAGTTCGGGCAGGCGCAGCTCCTCGCGCGGCCCGCGCGGCGCTGGACTGCCTGGGGCGCTTGCTGTTGCGCCTCGCTGGTTTCAGCCTGCCAGCGCGGAACTTGCCGCGGTGACAGCCCCCAGTCCCGTTCACGATCGCTGCTTCATTTGCGGGGGGGATGACGGCGACGTCGACGGCATCGGCCACTATCTGGAGGGGTGCGTGGCCACGGTGAAATCATTTCCGTTCCCCGAGGTGACCCATTTGCGCGCGACGACCTCCGCGTGGGCCATGTTGGCGCCGCGATTGGAACCTCGCGGCGAACTCTTCGCATGCGCGCGGTGCAGCGGAGTTTGCGTTGCCTGGGAAAACACGTTGAACGTCGAGGTTTTTGCCGAAATGCTCAGAGTGCACAGGCGACGCGCGGCTTGAAAGCTAGGAGGTGCGCAGGCCGACTCGCGCCCGCGACTGTGGCTCAGGGAGGCGCGGCGGCGCTGACGCCATGGCGGTCGAGTGCGGATCGCGACTTTCGATTTGCGCATTGCGCCGGCAAAAGCGCGATTTTCCATCATCTCCAGATGTTCTCCCCGCCTTCCCATGTGCCCAACGTGGCGTGGAGCCTTTATTGCGCTCGATGCCCTCCGTAGTCGGGTTCTTACATGTCGACGTCAGCGCAATTCATGGATCGTTTCTCACCTTTCCATTTTTTCCGGCTCAAGACGTGTGTTTAATGTGTGTTGGTTTTGTCGCTTTTTTTGGACATATCACCGGTGGGTCGGCTTTGCCGCCCTGTGCTTCCCCCCCGCCGCCTCCCTGCGCCATCTTGCATGCGCGGCGCGCCCGCTCGCAATGGGCATGGCGGCGCCGGGGTCGCGCGCGCGCCGACGGGGAGGCGGATCAGAGGCAAGAGCAAAGCGGGCGATGCTGGCGAGGGCTGGGCGTGCCTCGCGGCCGAGCAGCGCGAGCCGCGCGAGCTGACGGACGCGGGCATCGTGGATGCTCCTGAAGCCCCGAGTGGCGACGAGGGCCACGCGGCAGTGCGGACAGAGTTGTCGGATTGCCTGGAGAAGGAAGTTAAGGGCATCGCCGCGGGGGTGTCGCTCTTGCGCCCCGAGCGGGACAGCGAGAGCAAGTGTGCATTTGCTTGTGGCCTATGCCCGTTCCGATCGTTCTCGACGCAGCTGCTCTTGCGCGCTCGCGTCTCCAAGTGCCGCGTCAGGGAGACGCGCTTCGTGGCGTCTGGCGCGAAGCAGTTCGACGTCGTGCGCGCGCCGTTCGATAACGATTGGCTCCTGCGGGCTCCACCGGGCGACTTTCTGAAGCGATCTGCGACGACCACGCGCGAGACAGTGTCCCCTGCTGTTCATCGCGGACAAAACGCGGTTGACCAAGACGTTGTCCTTGTTCTCGACGACGACGGGCCGTCGTATCAGAACAAAGCTGCAGTCGGGCGGAGTCTCGCGCACAGGCGAGTGGGGTGCACTTACTATACCCGTGGCTTCGCGGACGTATTGATGCAGGAATCCTTGCGCCACCATGGGCGCGTTCGCCCGGCGATGCTGCGGGCGTGCGCTCGCGTCGTGGAGCCGGGCTCTGAGTTGAGTAGCATGCTGCCGACGCGCGTTGATCACTGGTTAAAGCTCATGGAAGACGTGTTCAACAGCGCGCGCGTAGAGAAGCGCAGCGCTGCGTTGATGGAGGAATGCCGGAAACATGAAGACTTCCTCCACGTCTCCATGGGCGCCAGCATCCGCATTCTGCGCAGGGTCAAGGGCCTATCGGTCCTCCCAAGCAGTGCGCGACGCAGCGCCCGTGCCAGACGTTGACGCCGAGCGCCACGTGCGGAGCCTGGCGGGTCGGACGGGCGCGGCGCCCGGCGTTTTCTCAACGACAGACGAGGCATCCGACGAAATAGCTGGAGCGATTGCAGGTCTTTGGTCGGAGGCGCGCAGATCGCAGACTGTGTCCGTCGCCAGTGACCAGCCGAGCAGCGTGTTATACCGCGCGTTGCGAAGCTCGTGCTTCTCCAACCTAGTTTATCTGAGCCTCGACCCGGTTCATTTGCCCATCGCGTACGAGGAGACGCACTGGAGGAAAAAGACAGTGGGATCAAAGCTATTGCGCATAATCGTGGCTAAGTTCACGAAGGTAAGCAGCGCGCTGCTGGCGCAATTCTGGGGCGCGCCGTTCGACGGAACGAATGCCCCGTCTTTGCGACCAATAGAGGAGCGCGCGCGACAGCAGATGCTCGACCATTCACTGTCGAAGTCGCGAGTTCAATCTGTGATTGACAATGTGAGCGCCGAGCTGCCATGGAGAACGACGCGCGACTTCATTGAATCTATCGCCGCGTTGAGCGCGTTGGTTCCAGAAGAGCTTGCTCGTCGCACTCACGTGAACAACGTTCAGCTCAAGAGGTTGCTTTACAACGCTACCGCCTCAGCCCGGATGCATTGTTTTTTTTCAAAGCAATCTCCGACTCAGGCATTCCTTGCCGACGGCGCGCTTAGCCTTGCTTGGATCTGGCACGTCGGTCCACGAATCATTCAATCGCGAGATCAACGCGTGGTTTTGCAATCAGGGCGACATCTACGCGTCCGCGGCAAGCTGCAGGCCCACTGCTGCGCGCTGTATTCGCCGACGCTGCGGCAGCTGCGACCGGCCACCGTGCTATCGCGAAGCATTATGGCCTGGGCTCTTCCTCGGGATGAGTGGGGCAGTTACTGCGCGATCCAGGCGGAATGCGGCGCCGACGTTCTGGCGCCTGCGCGGCTCTCGCTGCGCGGGGCCCGGCAGAAGGTTGCGATGCAGATTGCCGGGGGCCATGTTGAGGAGGTGGGCAATGATGGGCAACAGAAGGAGAGGGGCAGGACGAGGAGAAGTGCAACTCGGAGGAGGAGGAGGAGGAGCAGGAGGAGCAGAATCAGAACAGGAGGATAACCTAAGTAAAGATGATCGACCTTTGCGCGCTTATCCGAAGCGAAATCAAGGGAATTGCACATTATTCCACAATGATCCCCTACACACATACATATATATATATATGTATATATGTATATATCTCGGTACATGTATATTTCAACGTATATGTAAATGTATGTGTGCATGAATGTGTCTATGCCTCTGTTTATGTACATGCGCAAGTATATATATGTACATGATCATGTATCGGTATATGTACACGTGTATGTGTATACGTAGGTGTGTGTTTCTGCAAGTGTATGTGTTTGTGTCTATGCATACACATATGTGTGTATGTGTAATGTACGTATCTATACATAGTGTATGTATATGTACTTGCACCGTGTATGCATATGTATGCGTACGTGTATTTGTATACGTATATGTGTATATGCACATACACCGGTATGGTTTATGCATATATATACAGGTTTATTCTGATGTGTATGTCTATTTGTGCTCGTATGTAGATGTGTATGTACATGTGCGTGCGTATGCATTTGTCGGTGTATATGTATAGGCTTACGTGAATGTATAATGAGTTGTATTTGCATATGTATGTGCATGTGCGTATGTGTATGTTTAGGTACATGTGGAAGTGTATGCTCACGTGTGTTTGTATATTCATACTGTATGCGTTTACGTTTGTGTGTATGCATATGCATGCGTTTACGCATCTGTATGTGTATATGTTTTTTTTGTCTAGGTGTATGCATGTATGCATGTACGTGTGTATGTATGAGTGTACGCATGCATGTATGCCCATGCATGTATACATGTATGTCTAGGTATATGTATATGTATGTGTACGTGATGATGTATATACTTGAATATCGTTCTACATGTTGTTGAGTGTATCGGTACATGTACAAATATGTGCATATGTAAGTATGCAGATGCACATGTATAGGCACATGTACATGTTTATGTATATGTATAAAAAAGGGGTGTGTTTAGGTATACGTATACGTATGTATATGATCATGTGGATTTGTATATGCGTTTATTTCGGTATATTTATGGGCTCTGCGCATGTACATGCATATTTATTTGAATAAATAATGCAGCTGTATGTGTATGTGTATGCATATGTGCATGTGTATGTGTATGTGTGTAGACGTATGTACGTTTGCCACATAAATATGTATATGTATTGACATGGATGTATTTATCTGCCTGGCTGTCTGTATGTGTGGATGTATCATTCTACGCTTAGTCACACATATTCAAACACTTATTTGTACTACGTTTATCAGGCGTACATCTTATACAATGTTCACGCTGTATGCTATTGTATCCTATATATATACACACGCACATACATCATATATATGTATATATATATATTTATATATATATATATATGTATATACACATATATGTAAACATACGCATATATATATGTGTATACGTATATACACAAATATACATAGATGAATGGATTGCCGAAGCGCAAGGGTCCCGTGCCCCAGGCTGGCACACCCTCCCCGATTTCACCCCCTTTTGCCAATGATATTTTTCTCCCCTTCCAGGGACTCCAGGGCCTCCCCCCTCCGTTCAAAACAGCTCTGGAGGTCAACAAACGCTACCAGAGCGGCCTGACAGGGGGCAAGACGCTCGAATATGGTTTGAAGGCGGCTCAAGAGGCCCCGAAGACTTCCCAAAAAGGCTAGAAGATGAACGCCGAGAGGTTCGTGGATTTTTTTGCATATTCGCACTTCGGTTCCTAACAGCTTCCAGAACGGCAGAAGAGGCCCCAAATATTGCCCCAAGACGGCAGAAGAGGCCCCAAGATGGCCCCGGGACTGCCCAGGAGAGCCCAACGACTGTCCGAGAGGCGCTCAAGACGGCCAAAGAGGGCCCCGAGATGAATCCAAGAGGGGGAACTCCAACTGACATTTCGAGCCTTCCGCTCCCAGTGGGCCCCCAGGGCCGTCAACAGGCCCCCAAGAGGCTCCCAACGGCCCCACAAGAGGCCCCGAGAGGTCCCCAAACGGCCCCAAAGGGGCCCCAAGAAGCTTCAAAAGTCTCTCCACGATGCGCCCGAAAAGCTTGCCAACATACCCCGAACTGCAAGTATCCGATAATCCTCTTGACCCAAACTCAGGCACAGTAATCATCGGTACGGGCCATACATAAGCAAGCAATTTGCTTGGCGACGGACCCATCCCTATGCAGTCATGTGTAGCCCAGGGCGCGGGTCTCTCTTCATACACTGCGCGCCTCGGGGCAATGCAGAAAGCGGGCTGCAGCGGAGCATGCGTGCACGGGTGCGCTGAACTCTTTGTGGGGCACGATCCCCTGCGCGAGCACCCCCACTGAGGTCGCAGGTGGACCTCCTCCGGGCACGACCCGGGCGAGACATGTTCCGAGATGGGCGGGGGGAGGCCATGCGAAGCTGCCAACAGGTCCGACAGGTGGAGCTCCTTCCGAGGCACGATTCGCGTCACGGGTGTGCCGACATGGGCGCGGGGCTTTGCACGAACCTTGTCTCTGGGCCTGTTGTGATGTTACGATCCGCGTAGTGGGGTGTGCCGCAATGGGCGGGGGGGCGCGCAATGCGAACCCTGCCTCTTGGGCCGCAGTTGGAGACCTCCCAGTCACGATCCGTGCGAGAGGTGTGCCGAAGTTGACGGGGGGTGGGCGGCTTGCGAACCTTGCCTCTGGGACCATCTGTGGAACTCCCTGCGGGCCACGATCCGTGTGAGAGGTGTGCCGAAGTAAGGTGGGCGAGGCCAGAAGCTTCCCTCTGGTGCCGCACATGCAGTTACTTGCTGGGCCTGACCCGTGTGAGGGACATGCCATTATGCGAACCTTGTCTTTGGGGCCGTCGGTGGAGCATCCTGTGGGGCGCGATCCGTGTGATACTATATGTCCTCCGACGCCGAACACTTTTAGACTACAGCCATGCCTTGCTAGAGCCCGAGCGTGCGCGAAGCGCGCGTGGTTCTAATGTATACCTAGGATAAGTGTTAGCCCCTGGGAACATTGGCCGAGCACACGAATATCAAGACTTGGTAACCGCAAGGTCGAACCATCGATGCAAATCCGTCTGCACTGACCTAGTGGGTGGAGCACCTTGGAGGAACATGGGAGTCGGATGGAGGGAGAAGGGACGGGCGGGAGGGATTGGGAGAACAGGGGAGGAGAAGGGAAGGAGGGAGGGACGGAGGGAGGTAGGGAGACCTCGTCAAGAGGTGAAGGCGTGCCTCGCAGCAGCACTTGCGCGCCCGCGTCCGCGAGGCCAACGGCACGAACGGCCACGAGAGCGTCTCCACCGGAGCCCCCCCCCCCCCTCTCACCGAGGAACGAGGAGGAGGAGGAGGAGGAGGAGGAGGAGAAGGAGGAGGAGGAGGAGAAGGAGGAGGACGACGAAGAGGAGGGGGAGGACGAGGAGGAGGAGGAGGAGGAGGAGGAGGAGGAGGGGGAGGAAGGTGGAGGAGGAGGAGGAGGAGGTGGAGCTGGAGGTGGAGGTGGAGCTGGAGCTGGAGGTGGTGGCGGAGAAGGACGTGGACGAGGACGAGGAGGACGAGGACGAGGACGAGGAGGAGGACGAGGAGGAGGAGGAGGAGGAGGACGAGGAGGAGGAGGAGGAGGAGGGTGTGAGGAGTCCCTTGGAAACTAGACTGGCGCGTCAGGAACACAGGAACCCAGGAGGGGGGGGAGGAGGAGGAGGAGGGGGAGGGGGAGAAGGAGGAAGAGGAGGAGGAGGAGGAGGAGGAGGAGAAACCTCGCAGCCCTGGGGTCTTCAGCTAGGACATAGCCGAGGGGCTGGCTCGAGAGCCTCCAGCGAGTTTCCACGCACGATCCCACGGCGAGCCGCGGGTGCGGCCGTGGGAACTTCTTTGCCAGTGATCCAGTTGCCGCGCCACGAGTAGGGGCAACAAGAAGAGGCTCCCTGACGCCCATGCATCCGGGGCCAAGTGCTGTGAGGTCGATGACGGTTACTCCTCTGGCAGGACACCTGCTGCGGGTACGGGTCCAAGAAGCTGTTCCTGGGGGTGCCTGGAACTGTCCCCTCAGCGATGAAGAGATGGACAGCTGGATCTCACTTGGCAGCGCCCAGCTCGTGGCCCTTGCGGGCTCCCTCGGGAAGAGTCAGGGCCACAAACTCACTCACAGGCGGGCCACGCTCACGGCTTCGGCGGGGCTTGCCCGGCCTGCCTGCTCAGGAAATGCACCTCGCCTCCCAGCTGGTGGGCGCCCTGTAGACGCAGATGCTGCAGGCCGGATCTAAGATCGAGAAGGCATACCAGCAGGCGCAGGCAACCTTGATCCGAGTGGTCGAGGCCCAGGACGCCTTGGTGTCTCCCTACAGGGCAAGTGTGACAGGGCCCGTGCTGACGCTGCGGCGTTGGCAGGGCCGAACAGGTCTGCGTCCTCTGCGACTGTTGGTCCGGACGAGCTGGCGGCAGTGCGCATGGCGGTCGACGGCCTCCTTGCGGCCACGGGGGCCTTGCAGGCACAGCCCGAGGTGGCTCAGGCGGTCGACGCCATCGAGTGTATGGTCGGGCGCGCACCAGCCGCCCAGGTTCCAGTCGTGGCGCAGGCGCCACCGCCCACCGCCCCAGCTGCTGATCCCGCGGCCACTCCCGCTGTGCCGCTTGGTCCCCGAGTGCTCGCCCTGCCGCAGTGCCCCACTGCGCCGTCGCGGCTATCCTGGTGGCGCCGGATGGGACGACCCCGATCTCGAGAGCGACGTTGTCCTGCCGCAGGCGCCGCATTAGCCCGGCCGGGCTTCTGGAGGCGGCAGCGAGCGCTGGGCGTGAAGGGCAGGGTCCTGGTACGGAGCGCGAGGAGGAGGAGGAGGAGGAGGAGGAGGAGAAGGAGGAGGAGGAGGAGGAGGAGGAGGTGGAGGAGGAATAGGAGGAGGAGGAGGAGGAGGAGGAGGAGGGAGGAGGAGGAGGAGGAGGAGGAGGAGGAGGAGGAGGAGGAGGAGGAGGAGGGGGAGGATGAGGAGGAGGAGGAGGAGGAGGAGGAGGAGGAGGAGGAAGAGGAAGAGAAGAGGAGGAGGAGGAGGGAGGAGGAGGAGGAGGTGGAGGAGGAGGAGGAGGAGGGGGAGGAGGAGGACCAGTGTAAACTGAAGACTCGGCAGCGATGTTGGCATGACCCCTCCCTCCAAGCTCACTATTCATACGCCCCATACGAGGGTTCAGTTCCACTGGGGGAGCTGCTTCGTTGGGGGAGAATCGTTTGAAGACCCTGAAGCGTCCGAAAACACCGTTCTCGGGACTCCAACGCCACTGATCAATTTGACTTTTGCGTCCTTACGATCCTGCATCGGGCCAGACCGCCATTCCTGGGACTTCAACACCGCGAATCAACTTGACTGTTGCACCCTCACAGTCCTGAGTCCTTCCAAAACACCGCTTCTGGTACGTTGGCCGTGTGAATCCGTGAAATTCTGGCAAACTTTTAAAACGAGTGCTCGCAGAGCCACACTTTGAAAACCAGCCGCCCTCGATCTGTGAAGCCTTGCAATTCTCAAGACGACTGCGCGCGGCGCTCAGGCGAAGACCACATTTTGAAAACGGCCCGCCTTCAGCCCAGGAAGCTCTCACATTTTTTTCGAGCGACCGTGCTCGGCGCCAAGGCGAGAGTCACATTTCGGAAGCGACTCGCCCCCCATCTATGAATCCGGTGCCAGTTTTTAGCTGCGGGGTCTCGAACGCTGAGGATGTCTCTGGCGACGCGCCCAGCCCGCCCCTGCGACCGGCCTCGGGGTGCGACAGGGAGGAGATGTTTACAAGGAAATGGAATGGAGGAGGAGGAGGCGGAGGAGGAGGAGGAGGAGGAGGCGGAGGAGGAGGAGGAATAGGAGGAGGAGGAGGAGGAGGAGGAGGAGGAGGAGAGAGGAGGAGGAGGAGGAGGAGGAGGAGGAGGAGGAGGAGGGGGGGAGGGGGGGAGGACGAGGAGGGGGGGGAGGACGAGGAGGAGAAGGAGGAGGAGGAGGAGGCAGCGTGGGACGACCCGCGTGTCGCGGCCAGCGACCACGGCCGACAACGTGAAGGTGGAGCCGAGCCCGACCGCCGAGAGCGAGGTCCGGGCGGCAGCCGTCGCCATTGTCATCGTAGCCGTCGTCGTCGTCCCCGCTGTCGTCGTCGCCTCTCCTTCGTCGCCGCCGCCGCCGCCGCCGCCGCCGCCGCCGCCGTCGTCGTCGTCCTCGTCGTCGTCGTCGTCGTCGTCGTCGTCGTCGTCGTCGTCGTCCTCGTCGTCGTCGTCGTCGTCGTCGTCGTCGTCGTCGTCGTCGTCCTCGTCGTCGTCGTCGTCGTCGTCGTCGTCGTCGTCGTCGTCGGCACCGTCGTCGTCGTCGTCGGCACCCTTGTCGTCGTCGTCGTCGTCGTCGTCGTCGTCGGCACCGTCGGTCGTCGCCGCCGCCGCCGCCGCCGCCGCCGCCGCTGTCGTCCGTGGGCGCTGCCCCCGGCGGTCTCCGTTTCTGCGGCGCAGGGGGCCCGCGTGGCTCGGCTTCCGCCCTGGCGGCCTGGCGCCGCTCGGGCGTGTGCACCTTTGGCGCGGAGGGGGCCACCGAGGGGCAGCATCCGTCGGGCCTACAAGCGCGCACGAGACCAGGAGGTGCACGGGAGGTAGACGTCGGAGGCCTCTTGGGCCGTCTTGGGCCATCTCAGGGCCACCTTCGGCCGTCTTGGTGGGCTCCTGGCGCGTCTGATGCCGTCGGAAGCCGCTTGAGGGCCTCCCTGGGCCGACTTGGGGCCCTCTTGGAATGCTCCAGGGCCGTCTAGGAGGCCATCTTGGGCGTCTTGAACGCCTCCTGGGCCGTCTTGGGGGCATCTTGGGGCCGTCTTGGGGGCCTCTTGGGCCGTTCTGGGGCCATCTTGGAGGCCTCTTGGGCGATCTTGGGCGATCTTTGGGGGCTCCTGGGCCGTCTCGGGCCGTCGGAAGGCCGAAAAGAAGCACATGTCAAAGTCCTTCACAAACCTGTGGGAAGTCAGTATTTTTGGCCTCTTCTGGCCTTCCTGGAGGCCCTCTTGGAGGCCTCTTGGGCCTTCTTGGGCCAGCTTCGAGCCAACTTCGGCCATCTTGGTGGGTTCCTGGCCCGTCTGACGCCGTCGGGAGCCGTCTTTGGGGCCTCTCTGAACCGGCTTGGGGCCCTCTCGGGGCGCTTCGGGGCCGTCTTGGAGGCCATCATGGGCGTCTTGGAGGCCTCTTGGCCCGTCTTTGGGGCCCTCTTGCGGCCGTCTTGGGAGCCTCTTGGGCCGTCATGGGGCCATTTTGGAGGCCTCGTGGTTGATCTTGGGGCGATCTTGGCGTCCTCTTGGGTCGTCTTGAGCCGTCGGAAGGCCGAAAAGAAGCAAATGTCAAAATACTTCAAAACCCGACGGGAAATCAATGATTTTGGCCTCTTCGGGCCCTCCTTGAGGACCTCTTGGAGGCCTCTTGGGTCGTCTTGGGCCGTCCTGGAGGCCTCTTGGGCGAACGTGGAGGTATCTTGGACTCTCTTGGGCCGCCTTGGAGGCCGTCTTGGACCATCTTGGGCGGACTTGGAGGCCATCTTGGACCATTTTTGAGGCCAACGTGGCCATCTTGGAGGCCATCTTGGGCCATCATGAGCGAAACATTCAGGAATTGAGCTCCTTGAGAGCCTTTCCGGGTGGCCGGCGGGACGGACCGAAGCCCCAGGGGGAGTTCTTTTGGAAAAAGAACCAAAACCAAAACCGTAAGAAGTCCAGCACGCCAGGCACCCCTGCGATGAATCGACAGGGGGCAGCGGATCGAAGACGCCTACGGCGAATCACCGCCGCCCCCTGCCTTTTTGGAAGCGCCTATGTGGCCGAACGTTGAGGCCAGACCTGCTAAGCTATCGGACCATGTGTTCCCCGAATCGGTTTGGAAAGCCTTCGGGGAACACGTGGGCATCTTGAAGGTCATCTTGGCCGCCTGGAGGTCATTTTGACCCTTTCGGGCCTTCTTGGAGGGCGTCTTGAAGGGCTCTTGGGCCGTCTTGGAGGCCATCTTGAGCGTCTTGGAGGCCTCTTGGGCCGTCTTGGAGGCCTCTTGGGGCCGTCTTGGGCCTCTTGGGCGATCTTCGGAGGCACTTAGGCCGTCTCGGGCCGTCGGAAGGCCGAAAAGGAGCAAATGCCGCAATCCTTCAACAACTCATGGGAAATCAATGATTTTGGCCTTTTCGGGCCTTCCTGGAGGCCCTCTTGGAGGCCTCTTGGGCCGTCTTGGGCCATCTTAGTGCCATCTTCGGCCGTCTTGGTGGGCCCCTGGCGCGTCCGACGCCGTCGGAGGCCGTTGGGAGGCCTCTCTGAGCCGACTTGGGGCCCTCTTGGAATGCTCCAGGGCCGTCTAGGAGGCCATCTTGGGCGTCTTAAAGGTCTCCTGGGCCGTCTTGGCGGCCTCTGAGGGCCGACTTGGGGGCCTCTTGGTCCGTTCTGGGGCCATCTTGGAGGCCTCTTGGGCGATCTTTGGGCGATCTTTAGGGGCTCTTGGGCCGTACCGGGCCGTCGGAAAGCCGAAACGAAGCACATGCCAAAATCCTTCGAACACCAAAGGAACACCAATGATTCTTTGGCTTGCGCCGCACCGCCGACCCCTTGGGACTCCTGCATATCAGTGTAGCGGCCCGTGCAAGAGAAGACTACCGAAGTTGGCGGTCTCCGTGAACCCTACCAATGTCGCGCGCGACGAAAAGAAGGGCACCCTGAAGTGCAAGACATGCAAATGATGACCAATCGAACGCGCGTGCTGGGGAGGAAAATAGGACGGGGAGAGAAGCATGGGGGGTGAGGCGGAGGATGGGGGGGACAAGAATCGAAGAGGATGAGGATGAGGTGGAGGGGGGAAGAGGAGGAGGGGGGCGAGGAGGAGGTGGAGGAGGAGGAGGAGGAGGGGGAGGAGGAGGAGGAGGAGGACGAGGGGGACACAGAGAGGAGGCTCTCGGCTATGGGTTATGGGTTAGAGGCTTCTTGTATGTGTATCGGGATCTCGCGGCACGCCTCTCGGGGGCCTCTCGAAGGCAGTTTTGAAGCCACTTGGGGGCCGAGGTGGAGGAGGAGGGGGAGGAGGAGGAGGGAGACACAGAGAGGAGGCTCTGGGTCATTGTTCTGGGTTAGAGGCTTCTTGCATGTGTATCGGGATCTCGCGCCACGCCTCTCGGGGGCCTCTGGAAGGCAGTTTTGAAGCCACTTGGGAGCCGTTTCGGAGCTTCTGGGGGTCTTTTTGGGGCCTCCTGGGGGCCTCTTGGGGGCTCCTTGGGGCGTCTTGGGGGCCTCTTGGGAGCCTCTGGCGGCCTCTTGGGGCACTCTTGGGGCCCCCTGGGGCTCCTGGGGGCGGAAAGCTAGATGTTTTGAATTTTTGGTCGCCCTCTGGGGCCCCTCTTGGTGCCGTCTTGGAGCCCTCTTGGGCCGTCTTGGGGACCTCTTGGGCCGTCTTGGAGCTATCTTGGGCCGTCTTGGGGCCGTCTCGGGGGCCTCTTGGGCCGTCTTGGGGCTGTCTTCGGGGCCTCTTGGGCCGTCTTGGAACGTCGGGAAGCCGAAAAGGCGAAAAGGCAAAAAACACAGAAAAACACAATGGAAAATCAACAATTTTAGCCTCTCGGGGCCCTCTTGGGAGGCTTGTTTGGGACCTCTGGGGCCGTCTTGGAGGCCTCTTGGCCCGTCTTGGGGCCATCTTGGGCGTCTTGGAGCGCTCGTTTAGCGTCCCGGGGCCCTCGTGGGCCGTCTTGGAACTCTCTTGGGGCCTTCTTGGCCCATCTTTAAGCCCT